ACCTGGCGTCTCCGTAGGTGGAGGACGTCTTGCATCACCGTATATGGCCCTCAAAATAGTTCAGCGTAGAACTGAAGCCCCAAAATGGCCATAATGTAGGTTCCCTGTTGGGTTAGGATCCCATTTTTGGGGAAGTGTATTCCCAATGGTCCCTTCTTTACAAGGACCTTTAGAACAACCCCCATGTAACCTTTTTCACAGCAACCAAGGTTCTGGTTCCACTCTTTCCCAGGATGAAGCCTGCAAAGCGATCTTGGACCATGACGTGAACCTGCCAGAAGTACGGTGGATACCAAAAATCCTGCATGACCCTCAGTACCTTATACCTTGGGAATTATGGTACTATAGTATATTAGGGTCATGCAGGTTGTCTTATATCAACAGTGGTGACAGCAAGCGTTTAGGGTGTAGGGAAGCACTGACATCAAGAGCAAGTACACCTAGCCTCTCCTTGCGGTCTGATACTAGGGAAAGACGGAATGGAGGAGATCGAGAAGGAAGTTGCTATATCATTGGGGATCCTAAAGGTACCACTTTAGGGGTCCATTCCTCCATTCCCTTGCCCTAGTCCCTAAACCCTACACCTTAAACTCTTGACCTTAAACCCTAAACTCTAGACCCTAAACCCTAAACCCTGAACCAAACCCAGCCACCTGCATGAACTCAGGTTGCAAGTCAGCAGGTGACTGCACTTCGCTCAGCTTCACAGGGATCTCCACCGCGAACGGGGTCCACACACCCGGCGAAGCAATTCCTCCGGGACCATGGATAGGGTTATATAAGGTATCTAGGAGAATAGAAAAGAAAATGGAAACTAGTATTTACTAGATTCCGCATGGAAACTAGTATTTACTAGGTTCCACAGTAAACACTCAATAATAAGGGTACCCTTTTTCCTACTGTTCTGCTTTAACAAGGAGACCCCCAAGTGAAAAGAGGAAAAGGGTACTACTGGGGTACCTAGTTTAGGGCTTAGGGTTCAGGGTTGAGGGTTTGGACTCAAGACACTCGACAGGGGTTGAAAAGTATTGCTGAAGTCATGGCTGCACCGCCCGAATAGAAGCGCTCTAGCCGTTTGTTAACACTACTACACCGAAAAAGAGTATACTTTCTGTTTCTCTACTGCAGACTACATAACCCCATTTCAAGATTCTACCCTACTCGTCCTTCCATATCCATGGGTGACGGTCCAGGCAAGGATGGCAAGGGAGATTCCAGGCAAAAAGGGGAGCCTCAGCTGCACTGGTCTGGGACGTGCTTTCTCGCACGCAGAAAAAAAGAATCTGACTTGCCGTACATGCTAATAAACATGGCAGCAGCAGCAACAACAACAACAACCACCACATCAGTCATAATGGTCACCATGACAATATCCTCAATGGTTGGCATCGGCCCATTAAAGCCTAATATGAACCCTATGTGGCCCCATTATAATTGTTTCCATTTTCTTTTCCATTATCCCTCTATAACCCCAATATATACCCTATAATCCCCATATAAACCATATTTAATCCCTCTAGTTTCCATTTTCTTTTCCATTATAACCCCAATATATCAGCCCCCTAAACCCTAAACCCTAAACCCTAAACCCTAAGCCTAAGCCCTAAACCCTAAGCCCCAAACCCTAAACCCTAAACAGCCTGAGCCCAGCTGCTGGGGAATGGCGAATCGCATGGAGACTGCTGTGACGTCTCCACATCTTCGATGACCTGCAATGCCGCCTGACACCACCCATGTTCAAGAAAACGCGGCATTTTAGCACGGAATGAAAGAATGGAAAGATAATGGGACCTATCATAGGATATGGGGTTATATAGGGCCTATCCTTCAATCCCTACTAACAACCAGTTGGCCTAGGGACTCGGACAGTGCTACATTGACATGTGGCCTGCTTCTCAGTCAGGCACTCCGGAGCACTACCAACATCACCTCAGCGACAGCACGAAAAATGATCCAGCGGCTGTTGTGGTGGCTGCGGCTGTGGCCAGAGCGGCTGTGGCCAGAGCGGCTGTGGCCAGAGCCGCTGTGGCGGCGGTGGGGGTGGTGGTGGCAGCGGTGGTCTTCAAGCATGCCAAATCTGCCGCTGCGCATCTGTGCGACTTCGTTCGCGCAACTTGCACAACGAGGTCCAGCGCACGAAGACAAAACACGAAGGATGCCGTCTTCTCTGGGGCATGCATGGATTTGTGCTCACATGTCCGGATTTACAAGCCATCTCAAAAACTCCTTGAATCCTTATCAGATCCCTATATAATCCCTTTATGGCAGCCAAGCAGCTGGTTTCCTGCGTTCGGTGGCGCTTCAATGGCTTAGCCTCCACATCCACTTCCTCGTCCTGAAACCATTGGTGCGCAATGAGGTCACACCTTGCCAGCCCAGAATTGCTAAAATATCTCTGGGTTGAGGGTTTAGGGTTTAGGGTTTAAGGTTTGCTCTGTGCCCTAGGTTCACCGACATCGGGCTGTTGGGGGCAGGGGTAGTGACGTTCGTAACAAACGCTTGTGGAAGGCCTCGCTTGGTGACAAAAGGCCTGCAGAACTTTCCAAAATAAGCACACAAATCCAACGCGCTGGATTTGTGTGCTTATTTTGGATAATTCTGTGGATACTTACGGGCCAAATCAGAGGTCCGGAACATGTGACCTGACACATAAAGAAAATGCCCGACTATCAGCACTGTGTTTTTTCCGCTGCACACTCAATCACCTTTAAAATGCAGGACTTCGGCAATTTCAGAAGAAAGTTGGCCGGCGTTCCGTGGCCGGTGCGCGATGCGCACTCCGGCGAGAGCCTGCAAGACCCTGCTGTGGGCCGACTAAAGCTTGACTGTCCGAAAACGCACTGCCACGTTCCCCTGCGTTTTACAGGGTATTCTGCGCTTGGCTAGGCTTCTACACACGAAACAGCCTTTCCCTTCAAGCAACGTTTCTAGACATCGCAGTTTTCCCATAGGAAAACAAAGAATTCTATCAAAAGCCCCCTAGAAAAATACGCCTTTTCAATAAGCCCCGCGCGCGCGAACTTAAGATTCGTGCGCGCGAAGGCGCGCTGCAGTTCTATTAGCCCAGGCCCCCGAAGTACTGTAAACACCAGGACTTCGTGCTATGCGACATGCATTCCTGTCCTTCAACAGTCTTTCCCTTCGGAGAACCTCTACCACGAAGCGTTAGGGTTTAGGGTTTAGGGTTGAGGGTGTAGGGGATATCTCAGTAATATAGGGGATAATGGAAAAGAAAATGGAAGCTACCATATAGTATATGGGGGTCTTCAGGGAGGTGATATAGGGACTATATGGGGGGTAGTAAGGGACTGGGTTGTCCTTTAAGCCCTTCTAGAATTGTTTGCTATTAGGGTTCTCTACAAAATTCCAGGGGAAGTTAAAAAGATCCCAAAGGATAAATCAAGGGATTATAAAACCATCCACCCAAAAGGGCCAATAAGGGCAAGATCAGGCCGAAACAACGCCTGATGTAACCCCTAAAACGCTAGGGTTTAGGGTTTAGGGCATACAAGCAGAAACTTCTTCAGAGATGGTCTTATCTCTACTTGGAAAGCCAAGAGGATGGCTCGTAGCAGTCATGGACATATTTTCTAGCCTCCCATTACGCTGCAAATAACAAGTGTACTATGGCTGTTGTGATTTTTGTGCTGTTACCGCAATGGGACCAGGCAATGTCAGACAGATAACGGCTGCTGCAGCTGCAAAGGAATGGCCACAACAACTACTTGAAGGGTCAAGGGGGACTTGGTAAGTACATTGAAAATCCCTATAAGCCACATAGTAAACCCAACTATCCCTACTATCTAGGTCCTCCTGACCAGAGACCCCAAACCCTACACCCCAAGTAACGTCGTAGTTTCCATTTTCTTTTCCATATCCTCATATATCCCTACATAATTCTCTTACAAAGACTGTTGTCACTAGCAATGGGGGTCTTGGAGTTCTGACCTTAAACCTTAAACCCTAAACACTCCACTGGTCTCAGAGCCCCACTAAAGAACGTAAGTTTTGGCTGTTATTAGGATTATAAAAACCAACAATTAAAGATTATTTCGGAGGCCCCTATAGAACAGATTGAGGCCAAGCGACATGCTGCTCCGCATCGGTGGATCTATCTGAAGGAGGCCAAGCAGTATAGCCTTGGCGTAGGGATTTGGGATTAGGGTTTAGGGATACACGAACCTAAACTCTGAACATCCCCCTTTATAAGCCCAATCGCAGTCCCCTATATAATCCTGTAAATAATGCCTTCAAGGAGTTTAGACTACAGTACATATAAGAACAGTGCTACTCGGAAAATAACAAAGTATTTCCCATACATTATGATCTGCATTCTACCCTAAGCCCTAAACCCTAAACCCTGATTGTGGAACTGGTCTATACGTTTGGAATAACCCAGGTCCTATGTATTTATGCCTGTCAAACCCCTGTTGCCCTTTCATGTCCTATTTGACGCCCGAAACCCTAGACCTTCAGAGCCAAAAAGCCTTAAACCCTAAATCCGAATCCATAAACCGCAAACCTCCATGAATCCCTATAAGCCCGACACGAGCCAGCCCGATATACCCCGTATAGAAGTATATAAGCTCTACATACCCGTATCCCTATAAATGTCAAACCCTAAACCCTAAAGCCTAAACCCTGAACCCTAAACCCTGAATCCTACACCCTAAACCCTAAACTGCAAAACCTAAAACCCTAAACCCTAAAACCCTAAATCCTAAACCCTAAACCCTAAATCCTAAATCCTAAATCTTAAAACCCAAAATCCCTAAACCCCAAAACCTAAAACCCCAAACCCTAAAGCCCTAAATCCTAAATCCTAATCCCTAATCCCTAAACCCTAAACTCTAAAGCACCTGCTGGGTTGCTGTTAAGGAATTTACTTTAAGTTAC